ATAAAATCAAGCATCCATAACATTTAAATAGGTCAAGATGAATAGATTGAACAATTCATTTGCAGGTATTTTGCCCAGTTAAGTAAACAAACTGATTTCTATTCATATGCACTTAATTGATTTATAACCATTTTTCCTTGGGGTTAATGCAAAGTACTCTAAGTTGCAAATGTGACAGATAAGCTCAATATATACACCTTTACACACGCACACGTCAACTGAGTATGATAGAACACTCTGGCGGACCCATAGATTAAAATCTTAAAAAAAATGAACTTAGAGATGAAGATAAATTGCCCGAAAGCAAGAGAAATAAGTTGCTATATATATCCTATCACTTGAATACTGTTCGTTATCTCCATATATTTCATGGAGATAACAAACTGCATTCAAGCTCAAAAGTCCATTAAACAATACAAATTTTAGAGCAGAGCAAGCACAGACCTCTAAAACATCCGAGGTGGGATCAGGTGCCATGGAGGAGTGAGCATCCCCTGCCGACTGGTCACACCCGCCGTGTGTTCCTTGTCATGATCGGGTAAAAACGGAAAAATCCGTCGACAATTCAGTGTGTAAGTAATGGCCTAACAATTAGTATGAAAAACTTCAGTCAGCATTTGACTTAATGATAAATTGTATTTGCTGACAAGGTCATTGTATCGACCATAGAACTTCCGAAATGACGACTTTAAACGAGACTGTTGGTATTCTTGTTTCATCAACTTGTTTCTCAATAACTTACCTCGTTTTAGAAATTGTTCATCCGTAGAGCATGCTCTTGCGTATAGAATCAACTGAGAGACATAAACCCCATATGCAGGTGATGAAGGTATATTGCTGCATAAGTAAGGGAAGATGACGATTGAAAAGTTGAAGTAATCACTTTTATCATAAAGCTCTGTTGTTAGATTATTTTAACGTCTTTTTCTAGTAAAATATCTAAATATGAAACAGATGTGTCAGACTCTGTGGTATCTTTTATTTCAAGCTCACTGGGATATATCATATCGACATACGAATGGAAATAACCAATGTTAATTGACAGTACGCAGTAGATATATCTAGATGTCTAGTTGAAGGCCACAGCAAGTGCAAAAAATAGGTCTGCTGATAACGGGGCGCAATTGGTACCCATGGGAATTCCAATAGATTGTTGGAAGACCTGGTCTCCGAAAAACCACAAAGACATTGTCAATCAGAAACTCAAGTATCTTTTCTGAAGTATAAACTTCTGAGTACTTGTGTATATAATCAGAATGATTTTTAACAAAATAATTTTGCAAAAGACCAATGACAAGGTAAGTAAATTGATGAATTACATTTTTATTGAAAAAGCAGCTGGCAAGGATGTCAAAAAACCTGGACTTCAATTTATCGTGGGGAATGGTTTAATATAAAGTTGAAAAGTCGTACGTTTTTATGTTGTTGATTTTGGTAAAATTTTGCGATTTCAAATTTTCCAAAAGTTCCTTGGAATTTTTAAGTATCCACATCTGATTTACACCACTTCTCGATTACATTGTTGCACAGTACTCCTGAAGTTTTTCCTTTACTACTTTTAATATTTTAGTGAGGAGTAAAGAAAGAGGCTTGGTTACTGGAACCCGCTATGTATCTTTGTTTTTAAGGACTTTTATGAAGTTTCGGAATCCAATATAGATGTGGTAATTCAAATTCATGTTTGTTGTTGGGAATATTAAAAATATTAAAAACTGACATGATTTTGAAGAATTTCATCCTTAGAAAGGGAGCTATTGGTATAAGTCGGATTACTACTTGTTGAATTAAATCTTAGTTCCTCTAAAATACAATTTAAATAATGAGCCTTACAATGCAAAAAATCTGCGTTGACATTGCACATCGATCTCAACGTCACATCTTTATGACGTTATTTCTCTGTTTAAGCAAAATTGTCATAAAGCCCTTTTGTCATGGTCGCAACCAAATCTAAATGTCGAGTTGAAGGCCACTGCAAGTGTTTTCTTATTCTCGTGTATAAGATTTTGAATAAATTCTGCTTCATACAAATACAAAAATAGGTCTGCTAATAAAGGAGTACAACTAGTGGTTATCGGGATTAGTTTCCTGGAAGACTTGGTCTCCGAAGACTACATAAATGTTGTCAATGAGAAACAGCATGGCAGCATCCTTCTAATATCAACTTCAAAGTACTTGTGTGTAGAATCAGAGTGACCTTTTATGAAGTAATTTTATTAATGACCAATCACAAGACGAGAAAATTTCCGAGTTCCGTTTTTCTTGAAAAAGCGGTTGTCTATGATATCAAAAAGCTTGGTTTTTATTTTATCGTAAGGAATGGTTGTATAAAGTGTAATGGAGGAGTGAGCACCCCCTGCCGACCGGAAACACCCGCCGTGTGTTTCTTGTCATGAACGGGATAAACGAAAAAAAAATCCAGACATGGAATAAAAACCAAGTTCTTCTAAAATGCAATTCTAATTATAATGAGCCTTACAAACAAAGACAATATTGTTTCAGTCTGCTGGAACTATAACATATTGTTCATGTAGTCTCTGTGGTATTTTTCTTTTATCACATCCGATTTAGTGAAAACGGAGGGATAGACGGTTACATTTTGCCTTTTAATTTTATACGATTTTTTGATATATTTTTAAAACATTCAATCCATTCTGACAACGTGTTCAGGTCTTCCTTTTCATATTTATCCCAAAGTTTGGCATAATTTTCCACAGAATTCATGATTAGAAATGAAGTTCTGTCGCCAATTGAAAGTTCGGGGCTCCCTGTATTTAGGACCTTCTACGATGATTGATTTTAAGTCTTCATTGAGTTTGAAATCTATGCCCAGATATTCTTTTATTAATAGACCCTTTGGTTTCACCAACAAAAATAAGTCCACAAAGGGTACATTCTATTCCGTAGACAACGTTAGAGAATTTGAAATTCAGATTTTCCCACGTTTTTGGTACAGAAGCTCTGTCTAGTAAGATTACAAGTAAACAAAGAGCTAGTGAAAAAAATATCACAGTTTTTACAGTTTTTGACAGAGCATTTTGAAATGGAACACATGAGATCGGAAAAGGAATCGTCAAATGTATCTCGAATAGAAACATTGCATTCCTTCAATTTTTTGTATGAACTGTTGGTTCTATACCAAAACTGGGAATCTGAAGATTGTACACAAGACATATGTTTAATATTCCTGAAGATAATTTCTCGGAAATATATGAATATTGTGTCATAAAAGTGTATTTTCGGGATATAGTGGGTCTATGCTTTATGTTTTTGTTAACCGAGGAATGTATATTTTATGCATACTTTGAGTATACATCAAAATGGAGCGAAGACCCACTGATATGGAAAAATTGTGTTTTAGTACGAAGAGTTGATCATCTGTACCCTCTTTGGTGTATGTATGCTATTTCACAGAAGAATATTTCAACCTTTGTGAGATTGGTCCGATCTGTTGAGATTTTTCTTAAAGTAAACATTCATTAATGTTAAACTAATTATGAAAGAAAATTATATTTTGTCATAATTGATATTTAATTTTTCATTTTCTTGCTTTTTGCACAGTAGGCATTTTGCTCGCCTTGTTCGCCCATTTTTTTTAAATATTTTTTTTATATTTATTTTATAATTACATTTTCGGTCAAAATCTCATACCTTTCAACAATAAGGCCTACATGCATGTTCTTTGGTTTTTATTAATTGGAAGCTCCATGTATATAGACATTTCGCACTTTTTTGCCCATCTTCTTTTTAGTTGGTCTATTTTAGCTGAATTAGTAATTTTATTTGAAAGACCTTATATGGTATTATCTTTTCATGCAATTAAAATAAGAATACACCACAATTTAAAAATAGAAGAAGCTATCACATAACTGTCAGCAGTAATTTTTCATCATAAGAAAAACATGATCTGGACTTGAACTTGTTACTAAAATTAAACAGTCAGTTTTATTTATCAATGTGAAAAATTTATGAATTTTTCAATACAATAAAGATGACAAAAACCATCCTTAATAATGCACATCTTTAATAGGCTTTCTGTTTTCAAAGTCACTAAATAGCAGTAGTCAGGAAACAATGAAAACAACGTAAAAGGAAGGTATGAAAACTGCATGCATCATAAGAAAGAAAAACATTGTCCTTTGATTAAAAAAAATTAAATTAAAACAATTTTCAATAATTTCTGGAACACTAGAATAAACCTTCTAAAATTATTAATAACGAGCGCAGCGAGCGGCGCCAAGCTCCACTCGTCACTGCGAGCTCTTAAGCAAAGCCTGGACGAAGAGAAAATTCTGACTTTGCACTTTGGTCCAAACGAATTTTTTTTCCGAAGTAACTGCTGGACCCACAATCATCTGTGAATTGCATCTCGCCGTAAACTACGTTCTCGCGGAAACAACAATATATTTAGTTCATCAAAAAATAAACTCATCTTGATTTCATGGATACTGCAGAAAATAGATAGAATAAACTTTTTTCTTTAAAATAAGCACTGTTTAGGCTTCGGATTGCTAATGAACCTTGCATACGACGTCATTTGACGTCAGAGCCTAGTACTTGGGTCTTGGTTTATAAATATGTATACCTATTGATATGTAAAAAAAAAATACTTTTTTTTACATATCAATAGGTATACATATCTATAAACTAAGACCCAAGTACTATAGACGTACCAAATGTACCAAATTGAAGAAACGGATCTAAATCGAAACTAAATAAGTATCTGCGTTCGCCCTTGCGGTCGCACTTTCAACACATTATGATTAAGATAGCACGTTGATAAGTCATTTTTTCGGAGGCATATTTCCATTAACAAAGCACGGGACCAAAAGAAAGAAAATCTAGCAAACAACTTGAACCGGTTTTAATTTCTATGATTTGATATCTACTAGAGTCCATACAAATATATTTCTAGAATATTACATGTAAAATATGTAATTAATTTCTGAGATTTTAATGAGATGTTTTAATTTATCTATTATTGAACTGTATATAATTCAACTCTATAAAAAAGCTGTGATCATGAAAATAATGCTAAGTGTACATATATTTAACCAAATATTGTGCAGTGTTGTAGAGAGAGATATGGCGCTAGGATGGCTTGCATAAACATAGCGGTGATTGAGAGGTTGTGTTGGCCGGAAGTCGTTAGATATGTCTCGATCTTCCTCATTGGCGTAGTTCCGGTGTACATTATGACGGAATTTCATCAACTGAAATACCAATATTAATAACCAGTTCCATTCACATTTGGGAATAAAGTTATGTATAAATAGTAAAATATTAATGTAACAACTTGTGTGTTTTCATTTTAGGTAAGCATGTAGTAATGAAAGTTATTGGATATTTGTGTTAGCATTCATACGAACCTGGTCCTCGGAAATTTTTATGGTGTCTTTAAAGATTGTCCAGATGACACTTTCAGAACAAGGAGGAGTGGTTAGGCTACCATGGTAACGAAAGTAAACCTGTAGGTCTTCCGGAAATAGCCCAGCCAATGGAAATGTAGTCAGATTCACGTGATCATCTGTTTTTCATATAATGTAGTGATTTAAAAGTTCAATGATAACATGTTGAATAAATGTTAAGAAAAATTTAGAGAATAACGAAAACTACCTTTATGAGCAATTTGGTAAAAATGTTGAATGATTTCATCAAAATGGTGATTTTCTGTTCCTACCTATAAAGAAAATTATACTAAAGCCTAGGTACGTACAATCATTTCATATACCTGTATGTATACTTGTATGTAAAACACAGCTATAGGTAAACTAGTACATTATTTTCAATTTTTTTCACATGTGCCATATAAATGTATATCACAAATCTGAAATCACATTTAAGTTTCACTTGAATATTCCTTTACCTCAAATAAGAACGCCAGCACGTGCAGTCCATTTGTCTTATTCATTGCGTCAGCGAAAATGTTGTACTTCGTATTGTAGTGTACCACGTGCATCTTTAGATAAACATGATAAATAGCAAGAGATTGTTATTCTTTTTCTATCTTTATTGTTTTATTTTAGGATTGGTTGAAGGGTAACTTGCTATGAAGTGTATTTTCAGTTTACCTCCATGGGGAAATGGCGGTCGTTGATGTCGTGTTCAGAGCCTCTCTTGTCTTCAGAGCCCCAGTGGAAGTGAAACTGTTCAGCCCGGTAGGTGTCGCTGACGCCTCCCCCTGATATTGACATCATATTACCCAAAAGGTCTATTTGTACTGAAATAAAAAAAAAAGTGAAAAGAAAGGAAAACAGGAAGAATAGAGTGAAATAAATAATTTTGAAAAAACTAAAGCACCGACAGTCATACGTTGCCCCATGCTTGATTCAAATCAATGGTGTTAATAGCTTTGACCTTTTGATTAACAAGAGGCCTCAGAATCTCTAGACATTTTCTGGGGAATATGGAGAATAAACGTATTTCAAGCATATTCCACTGTTACATGCTGTATAAAATATTAAGAAAGTAGGTTCAGCAACCTCATTATTTATAGTTACTTTTTTTCTCCAACAAGTTCTTTTATTTTCCTTCAGTCAAAAAAGGGTCTTTTTGATATCATAGACAGCTGGGTTTGTTTTTCAATAAATTAAAATGAAACTCGTAAATGTACATACCCTGTAATTGGTCATGTTCAAAATTATATTTTAAAAAAATCTGATACTATACAAGTAGCTTCAAAACTGATATTAAAGATATAATGCTCTAGTTTCTGATTGTCAATATATATGTAGTTTTTTGGAGATCAAGTCCATTCTGTTGGTATTTCATCCATACCTTCCATGCAGACCTATATTTGTATTCATATGAAGCAGATTTTTTTTTATTAATCTACATGGAAAGAAGAAGTCTCTTGCCTTGACCTTCAATACGACATTTAGATATATCGATGGTGTTTTATCAATGATCATTTTCCTTTTTTATTCCTATGTTGATTCAATGTATCCCTTAGAACTCGGAATATAAGACACCACAAATTCTGACACATCTGCTTCATATTTGAATGTTTTTTCTTAAAGAAAAACGTTAATGGCAAACTAACAATTAAACTTAATGAAAAAGGCGATTGACTTTAACTTTTCTATCGTCAACTTACCTTCTTAATGAAGCAATATATGAAGTTTATGTCTCCGTGTTGATTCGGTAGGCAAGATTATGTTCTACCTACTAAAAGTTTCAACGAGGCAAGCTATCGACAAATAAGGTGATAGTACAAGGATATCAAAATATAAATGAGGGGCTAGTGCAGTTTGACGAAGTGTTCTTTTTTCACTGTGTTTTTTTTTTTGGAATGAATAAGATAATATTATTCGTATCTTTAAAGATAATGACAACGTTTTGTTTTGATATTAAAAAAATATGCAAAAAGAAGGGTTTCATTAGAAGACAAATTCTTTTTCTCCACCTTGTTGAACATTTATAACGTATATTTTCAAAAGCAACTTTTTTTGAAAATATTTCAAAAAAATTCTTACTTCATTTGTACTGCTTTATTTTTAATTTTCATAAAGAAAAATATCTTTAATCAGAATTTTATGCAAAAACACAGGTAACATTGGTCAAGAAGTGATGGTTGCAAACATTCTCAAGCATATAACACCTAAACATCTTACCTGTATGCCCATTGTTTTTCATGCTCATCTTGACTTTGTTCACTTTGTCATAACCTGTGAAGTTGAAGGCCGTCAGAGTTGTGTCAAGGACAACTTTAGATGTATCCACAGAGATGGGGGACTGGCTGGTACCTCCACATTGAGGGTAGTCTTTAACCCATGTTGAGGGTCCTTGATCAAAAGCAAAATACAGGTGCTTTTTTAGAATGCATGATATTTATTTATAGATTAGTAGCATTTATTTCCCTCTCTACGGAGTTATTTATTAATACTGAATTAATACTGAACCTCTGTAAAAGAGAAACTTCGGACGTTCTTTGCTACAACATATTCTGGAAGTAGTATAAATCAGATTTGGATTCTCAAAAATTCCAAAGAACTTTTAGAAAATTTAAAATAACCTAATTTTTCTTAAGTCAATAACATCAAAATGTATGACTTTTCTACACCTAAAACAACCATTCCTTATATTAAAAACTAGGCATTTTGATATCATAGATAACTGCTTCAATAAAAATTGAATTCAGAAATTTTCTGATCTTGGGATTGGTCATCAACAAAATTACTTTGTTAAAAATCACTCAGATTCTAAATAAAAGTACACTGGTGTTGATATTAAAAGGATGTTGGAGTTTCTCATTGACAACATTTATGTAGTCTTTGGAGACCATGTATTCCAACAAAACTGTTGGAATTTTTTTTCCAATTGTGCTCCTTTGTTATAATTAGTTGACTTGTTTTTATATTCCTATGAAGCTGAATTCACGAAAATTTTACATGACAGAAGGATGACACATGCTGTAGCCTTCAGCTCTATATTCGAATATATCGACGACGACGTTTTGACGATAGTTACTTCCATTCCTGTGTCAAGTAGACTTGAAATAAGGGATACAACAAAGTCTGCCACATGTTTCGTGTTTTGATGTTTTGCTGGTTGTGGACGATGGGGGTCACCTGACAACCAGATTGTATGGCGGGCGAGATAACTTTTTCCATCGTCAGCTTTCCTTGATTGTTTAGTGATGTTCCACTATCACCTGCATATGGTATCTACGTCTCCAACTTATTCGATATTTAAAAGCATGCTCCGAGTACAACTGACTTTTAAACCGAGCCAGGTTTCTGACAGATAGGTTGACGTAGGGGAAATTCATCAGCCTAGTTTGAAGTCAGCATTTTATAGATTCTACGGTCGTTATAATGACTTTGTGGGCAAATATATAATCATTATTGGGTTGTGTTTTGACTGACTTGTTTCAGACATATTGTTAAGCTTCTGTTTTTATGCTTAATTTGACTTTGGAATATTGATGATCTTGATCACTTTTGAACACTTGGGTATTGTCCGTATATCTGAGTTGATCTTACTGAATATTCAAGCTTACTGTTATTTTCTTTAACACGACTTTAACTGATTTCAAAAACCTGAATAGAAAAAATAAGAAGTATTCTAATCCTTACTAGCTGTGCATTGAGCTTATAAAAAGTATTTGTATATAGTTTGGGTTTCTTTGATCACACATTTTCTACGGATTATACGCAATTATTAATTATCAAAAGTTTACATGCTAATTCAACATATATGAATGTATGTAAGGGCACAATTTTTTTCAAAGTATTGTTTGAAAGATGTCGCCCTGTGGTTTTTATTAATGTACTGGAGTATTTATTTACATGTAATAAATGTATTTGAAATGAAATATGTGGAGATGACGAATAGTATTCGAGCTCAAATGTCCATTAAACATTACAAAATAGGAGCAAAGCAAATACGGACCTCTAAGACATCAGAGGTGGGATCAGGTGCCATGGAGGAGTAAGCATTCCCTGCCGACCGGTCACACCAGCCGTGTGCTCCTTGTCATGATCAGGAAATAACGGAAAAATTCGTGGACAATTCAGTGTGTAAATAATGGCCTAAGAATTAATATGATAAAACTCAGTTAGCATTTGATTTAATGAAAGATTGTATTTGCTGACAAGGTCATTGTATCGACCATAGAACTTAACGAAATGATGACTATTTGAGGTTTAAGTATACTGTTGCTTAAAAATATATAGAAACGAGATCACAGCTAACAGTTAACAGACCATTGGATGACAGGGAAGTCAGTTGCAGATCGAACAGTTGATAATTAGTTGTTTGATCGATTTGATAGAGAGAGGTTGGCCATCTTTTTTCACTAACACCTCACGGCTGGTTAATGGCTAGTTGTCCGTTTTTTTTATGAACGCAATGACTTTAACTTTTCTATCATCAGAGTCCCTTATTTATGTAGCAATATATCATTATCAGGTGCAGATTTTGTTAATATCATCAAAATAAGAGCTTGTTCTGCGTTCTAAATCAAGGCAGGATATTGATTAATACGTTGATGTTACCAGGATATCTGCAATCTCGTTTGAAGAGAAAAATATCTCAAATTCTATTGTCAATAAAATGCCCTTGTTTGCAAATGCAACCTATGGTTAGTTTTACTTGAAACTTGTAATACAAATTACTAGTATTAGGCCATCGTTTTCATACTATACTGTTTAAGATACCCGACGAAGACAAAGGGCTCGTTGGGTGTGACCGGTCGACATGGCATCTGATCCCACCTCTGATGTTTTCAGGGGCGCTTGTTTGCTCTGAATTTGTAATGTTAAGTTAGACTTTTTAAGCATAAGTACTGTTTGTTATCTTCACATTTCATAGAAAAAAATGACCACTTTCTCATTCCCATGGATTATATTTTCAACCAAGAGCTATGTGATGTTCAATTGACAGCGTACAGTTAGCTAAATACAATGTATTCCTTCTGAATTTAGCGTTCTTTTTTTCAATAAAGGCGGTGTTCAAATTTGATTAGACATGTACTCTACAGCCTTTTTTTCATTCAAAGAACGGTCATTTATATTCATTTAAACACAAGCATCTTATCAGCTCTTCACCACCAAAATATCAAAAGTTTACTTGTTCGGAGGAACATGCTTTTCATCATTATATTAAATGAATTACTAGTATTATATTGTATTTTCTTTTTCATCATTATATTAAATGAAAGATCATTTTCATTTAAAAAAAAAAAAACACCTTGAACATATCATTTACTTTACAACTAATTAAATAATATAGTACACTTTTACAATGCATTTAACTTTTTTTCAACAGGAATTCAGGAGTAAATAAATGTTTGAAAACTGTAACAGAAAACAAAGGTATAATTTTCTAATTTTCATTTCATAGGAATCCACTTACCAATTCCAGGTGCATAGCCCCACTCATTACCTGTAAAATTAAACATACTTTTGAAATTTATACAATCTAACCCACAATAAAATTGAAAAGAGAAAATATGTTATCCCTGTAACTTAAGGGAATGTTCTTCAAAACGATGTTTGATTTTTTTTTTTTTTGCCTCTGGATCTGTTGAAATTCCCTACAAACTCAGTACTCAGTTGCGAATGATTGAAGACATCTCGCAATTGGCCATAAATCTGCAATGATATGTCAGCGTTCTTTGGACTTTGAAATAACTGATTCTGAATGCGTAGAACCTAAGATTTTCTACCTATTTATTATCCTAAAACCCCAATGTAACTTCATGTTCTATACAATTTACCCTTTTTAAAGATGTTTTCTACTTACAGACACATTGCACATTTCTAGACTCAGACATCAAAAAATTTGGAAAAAAAACTTTAATGCCTTAAATCGTGAGAAATATTAAAATAGGATTTCTTCTCTTGGATATTACGAGGTATTCATAAAGTCTGTTTATTCTCAATTAATATATATAAATAAATATATGATATGAATAATGTTAAGTGTTGCTAATGAGTGGTAAAAGAAGACAGATGGTTTAATGTAAATATATCAACTAATTGATATGTTATCATTCTATTTTTATTCTTAAGTACAGTTTTATTTAAGTCCTTTGGTGTATATCAATAAAATCATTAGCTTCATTAGAATAACAAATTCTGGATCAGAACAGTGCGAAGTCAAAAATTTGATTGTGATTTTTTTGGGAAAATATGACAACAGCTAATAATTAACTTTTTCTGAAATCTTCAAATATAAACTCCCGATAATAACCTACCTCTCCCGCCAACACAGGAGATATTAAAAAGAAAATGTTTGTCCAGATTAAAATTTGACACTCTCCAGTCTGCATAGTTCTAATTTCTAGCAGGTAAATTTCACGAAAGATAAAATTTGTCTCTTCGCGGGTATTTTGAAAACATTTCAGCAGAAATTGATTTGAAAGGAGCCAATAAATAAGATTTTGTTTATTAGAATAATAAAATAGGATTATATCAGTGCGGAATCGCGTGAAGGACATATTATATTGGTTATTGGCATTCAATAAGTGTGCCACTTTTATGCCTATCATCTAAATAAATACCATTCCCTTGGATGGAAAGGATGAATAGATTAGATATTCTCTTTGATTTTACATGTCGAAAAGCCAATAAATGTTATCTTATAAGAAACCTAACTTCAGACATATTTCAACTAGGAAAAATTGAAGATTAATGAGAAGTTGAATTGATTTTTCTTTTCAAAATATTTACTAAACTTGAAATTAAGGCATGAATGCAAGAAAAAAGTACCCTTCATAAAATTCTAATTTTAAAATAGTTTGTATAGGAATGAAAAGCAGAAATACTTAGCTTTCCCATAAAAAAGTACGACCACAAATATGGATTTGATTAAATCTGGACGAACATAAACTCTTACAAACAATCCATTGATTAATAAAGTTTCCTGTAAATACAGATAATAACTGTGAATATAATAAATTCTCCTTGTGGGAAGGACTCTGTACTTTAATATATTTGTTTTAATCTTGATATAACAGGTCGACAATGATAAATAATATGTTTTAAAGTGGATGTAGAGGAAAGCAGTAGTACAAACTTTTTCAAATCAAAAGATATGAAATTTCTCTGATTGATAAGATATGGCTCCGTGTTACTCATACCACAGTGTAGACAGACATAATTAGATAAATACCTGGCCTGAAGCCGACTTCCTATCACCTCATAACATTTATAATGCGTCACCATCACACGCTCTGTGTCACTTATTCTAGAGAAGAGATTATAACATTCAAGGTCATATAGACGTTTGGTATCAGGATAGTTTATTTTGTGTATTGTGAAAATGACTGAATTTCTTTTTTCTCACTTTCGATTGCGTTTTCTTAACATGGGTTTTGCAAAAGAGAAATGAAATATGAAGATAACAAACAGTATTCAATCTCTAAAGTCCAATGAAACGATGCAAATTTGGAGCAGAGCAAACACGGACCTCAAAATTTAGAGGTGGGATCAGGTATAATGGAGGAGTGCATTGAGCATTCCCTGCCGACCGGTCACACCCGCTCCTTGTCATGATCGGGAAACAAAAGCCGGAAAAATCCGTAGACCGTTCAGTAGAAAACAAAACATAACAAGGACATAAAATCGAAAAATTAATGTTAGCTAAATTCCATGTTTTAAATAGTAATAATAAAATACAATTGTTGAGCTGATAGGTTTTTCATTCAATCTGGACATTTTGACGCATTGAACATTAAATTTTTATATTTACATATGCTGTGTTTTACTACTTAACCAACTATGAAATTGATTTGAATGCTATCTTCGTGTACATATTCAAGCCAAAGACCTTGCTTTAGGTCTATGCTCAAGCGAAGAAATATCATATACGGAGAATCTCGCACTTAAGTGACGTCACAATGAAGGGTTTTTCATTCAATCTAGACATTTTGACGTATATTGAACATTAAATTCATATATTTACATATGCTGTGTTTTACTACTTAACCAACTATGAAATTGATTTGAATGCCATCTTCGTGTACATATTCAAGCCAAAGACCTTGCTTTAGGTCTATGCTCAAGCGAAGAAATATTATATACGGAGAATCTGGCACTAAAGTGACGTCACAATGAAGCTACAGAGACGTTAATATAATAATAGACCGATATAGGGCAGCAAGAAATTCAAACATTGAGTATATTTTCAGAGCTTTTAAAAGTGATAAATGTAAATATAGGGATATTGTTTTTTATTAGTGTAAATTATTGGTGTGTAAATCACACAGACTTGCACGTTGCTAACGCGCTTCTTGAAATACATGTATGCTTTCTTGCACTTCATGAAAAAGATGTATATGTGGTATATCTGTGTGATTTACACAAAACTTAAAAATATCCCATAATTAGCCATGATGATATATATGCAGACATCTAAGGATTAAACATTTTTATCAATCGTGACGTCATAAGTTAGTTATGTTGTCAAAAATGACGTAAATTCGACGTCAAATATGAAGATTTAACAGTAATCAAGTTCAAAAGTCCAAAAAATACAAATCAGGAGCAGAGTAAACACGGACCTCTAAAAACCAATCTCCTGTGCAGAGTTGTCGCTCGTTCCTCTCTCAGGCACCTCTGCAATGGGCTCTCGTCAAGATTTTTGACATAACGTTTCAAGGATTATTTCAAATTAAACTAATAGTTTTAGATCTATTTTGTAAATATCCATCCTTAAGGACTATCATTAGCTCAGACATTTAATTATAATGAATTAAAAGAAACGCACTATTTCTCGTGCTTATCAGTGTGGTATACGCGAGCCAACGACAGGGGTGAATGTATGAGCCGATGGTAGAGAGTGTCTATAAACATCAAATGTGAGATCAGGTGCCATGGAGGAATAAGCATTCCCTACCGACTGGTCACACATGCCGTATGCTCCTTGTCATGATCGGGAAAAAGGGAAAATCCGTAGACAATTCAATGTGTAAATAATGGCCCCAACAGTTGGTATGAAAAACGTCAGTCAGCATTCAACTTAATGATAGATTGTATTTGCTGACAAGGCCATTGTATCGACCATGATGACGTTAAACGAGACTTGATATTCTTGTTTCATCAACTTGTTTGTCAATAACTTGCCTCTTTTTAGAAATTGTTTGCACTTAAAGCATGCTCTTGCAAATCGGATCAACTGGGAAACATAAACTCCATATGTACATATTGCTACATAAGTAAGGGAAGTTGATGATGGAAAAGTTGGAGTCATCACGTTTATCATGACGTTTTCTTGTTAGGTTTCCATTAACGTTTTTTTCCTAGTAAAATGTCAAAATATGAAAACAGACGTGTCAGGTATCTTTATTCATGGCCGTAGGAACCGGGGGGGACGGGGGGGGGGGGTGCCCCCCCTCTCCCAATAATTTTGCCGATATATAGATTACTATAGTAAACATAGATAATGTGTGCTTGTGCCCCCTCAATAAAAACGTCTGATGACCTTTTTTTTTTTTGCTTGTCAGGAAGTTTTTGGTAGTGCCCCCTCAACGTCAACTGAAAAATGTATGGCTGTGCCCCCCCCCCCCCCCCAACTGAAATTGCTTCCTACGGGCCTGTTATTTGAAGCTCACTGGAATATATCGAGTCGACATTTCAATGAGAAAGAGAGAGAGGTCTTTGTTCAGCAGAGTTTAGATAACAAAACAAATATGAAATTAATCTACGTCGTCAATATGGATTTAAAAAAGCCTCGATATCAATTAATCATATAATAATAAACAATAAATTTTGTTATTTAATTGAGGAATTGAGTGGACTCTTGATTAGAATCATTATTTCTTGATATGCAAAATAGAATCCACATAGGTAAACATATTTTTAAACTCGGATTTTATAGGCATCATTAATTGTGAACGTTATTTATATGAATATTAATTGCTTTCGTCAGATAAATAAATACTACAATTAATTTTATTTTGTCACCATCTTCTATTCTGACAAATTCTCCTACCAGAGCAATTGGGAGCACATCCATAACAAATCAGGGTGTAATACTCCATCCAACAATATACATGTTAATATTTAATTTAAAAAAAAATGAATTAAAAAAAAAAACTTACCACTTCCCGTTCCCGCGTTTTTTATCCAGGAAGCTAGAACGAGCAGATAAAAAGGTAACACCCGGTGCATGATATCTTTTCAATTACCTGAAAATTGCATTCAATGTTCTTATGTATATCTGCTCCCGAGTGTGGACTCTATAACACAAATATTCGTAAAGTATTCACAATTTTTGGTATTGATGATTTTTTTTCTATTGACTTTGTTCATGTGCCAGAGCATTGGATATGACTTCCAAGAAGGAAATTAGTCAGATTTATTGCGTTATATACCTGTATAATCTGTAAGAGTGGAGGAATCTTTCCTCGATTTTATCAGACAATGGAAATAATTTTCACCTTTGCTATGAGAAATAAAAACTTTTTCGGCCACAATGATTTCCTCGCTGCAGGCTATGCAATATTCACGAGACCGTTATCATTGAAAAATCAACTTTGTACTGAATGCTTTATCTTTTAAGGTTGTAGACACAGATTTGTAGTTCAAAATCTATGTTCGTTTTTTTTACATGCCCTAATTTGGTTGTTAAAATGCACAACGTAGCTATTAAAAAATTTAAAAAATGAGTCCATTTGATATACAAACGAATCAGGCCCGTTAGAACGGCTTCAAATGTGGGGGGGGGGGGGGGTGACCAAAACGTAAGGGGGGCAACTTTTCAAAATAATCTAACAAGCAAATAAAAAAATGTAAAAAAAAAATTTAAAAAACTAATTACCTGTCCAAACCCTGGAATTTTCTTACAGCAACAAAAAGTGTGTGGGGGGGGGGGGGGGAGCAAGCAGTATCTAAAGGAAAATTTATTATTATGCATGTACTATAGCAAAATACTATACTTAGAAAAAGTCTGAAGCTTGTATATTTGCAACCTCCCCCTCCCCCCGGCATTCTACGAGTCTGTAAATATACAAGCTTAGATTTTTTTTCCCTTTAAGCCAATCACCTGAGTGGAGGCTCATGTAAGCTTTTTTAAAATGGTCTCCGTCTGTCGTACGTCGTCTGTAAACTGTGTACATTTTCGACTTCTCCAGAAACAGTGAACCAATTTCAACCAGACATGTCACAAAGCATTCTTTGGTGAAGAGGATTTACCTTTGTTCAAATGAAAAGCCATGCCTAATTAAGAATAAGAAGATTTAGTGGCATCATTTAAAAATTTTCTCATGAACAAACTGAGCCAGATAATATGAAACTCATATGAAAGCTTCCTGACATAGTGTGGATTTACTTTTGTTCAAATCATGGCTCCTTGGGATACGGTATAGGGGCTCAATAGGGGATAAACATATTACATAAAAATAGGGTAAAATTTTAAAATCTTTTTCACAAGAGGAGCAGGGCCATGATAAGTTAGAGTATTAGGCAGGTATCCTCAGGTAGTGAAAATTCAACTTTGTGTGAATACGTAGGGGATAAAATCTTTAAAAATCGTCAGCTCATGAACAGCAGGCCAGGGATAAGGAAGCTTCCTCAGGTAGTGTAGATTCAACTTTGTTCAGGAAAAGTATGATCGGGCCACAATAGTGCTTCAAGGTTTACATGGAAATATATAGGAGAAAAAAAATCTTTAAAAATCATTTTCTGAAGATCAGATAGGTCATGATTAGTCATATTTATATTGAAACATTTTCAGGAAGTGTAGATTCAAGTTTGATCATATCATGCTCCCCAGGGCTAGGGTGGGTCCACGACTGGGTATTAGAGTTTTACAGTGAAGGTTGGAAGAACAAATCTTTTCAATAGCGCCAGGGCCAAATTAAATCTAATTAATAGGCATTTACACCTATGTTATATAAAATTTTGTTAAATTATGGACCCTGGGGCTTCGGGGGGGGGGGCTAAAATTGAAGATTTTTTTAATTTATATATTGCATGTGTTAAAAAAAAATACTTTGTAAAAATACTTTTCCAGGTGGAACAGCAAAGCCATGTTAGTAATATTGACATCAGAACATCCCCATGTTTTGATCCTGATTGGGTTAAGTCAGGATTAAGTTGGTGCCACAATATTCGGTTTGTCAAATTCTTTTATGAGAATAAAGAGGGTAAAAGTCCTAAACATTTCTGAGGAACAGCAATATTTATCACGTGAGCGTTGTGGCCCACATACCTCTTATTATTCTATAACGATAACATTTCATATCAAATTTTTATTTGCTTTATTTTTTTTAATTTTTATCTTTTGGTTAGTTATTTTGGTTTATTATTTTGATTGACAGTTTAACTAAAGGAAAATATATAGCTACAATCAAGGGATCTTTTGAGGTATACTCTTGTGTCAGGGAGAAAGCCACACTGCGTACGTCTCAAAAGCTATTTAGATTTTCATCTTGTTAAAAGCTGTTTTGAAAATGATAAGAATATTATTATTTTTTGCCTTATAGACATTTTTAAGCTTTGATTACCGGTAGTCTATTTTGTAGAGCAGAGACTCCCGATACAAATAGTTTGGTATCAAAGATTATCAACAGCACTGGCTGTACAAACATCGGATCAAAGATTATTTGAAATCAAATATTTTATAGATTTCTCTGTAGATCGGTGTTTTTATGTGATGTGCACATTTCCCGCCCCCTTCATCTCTCTCTCTCTCTCTCTCTCTCTCTCTCTCTAGGGGTCTGTTCCCTAAAATGAGATTTCCGTAGAGTTACACAATTTCACTGGTTTTTGTAACAACTGCATTCTGGATAAAGTATTGGTAAATTATACAAATAGTAATAATTAATGAAAACAATAATACGGGTTAGTTTCAAAGATAATGATTAATTTATGTCATAATGCTCATTTCACAGCATGGCTTGCATCATCTTGTATACATATACGTTTCTGCAAATTTGTTGTCTTCGTGGTATTTGATACTAAATGGCAGTAGCAGGCCATCTGAATTGATGACAGCCCTGTCAATCTACAGACGTCTGTGCAGCAATGTAGAAAAACGTCTTTCTTTGAAATACAAAATACATTGAATGTATCGATTTCACATAAATCTGTTTGAGATATTAAAGTGCACTACATATATTTTGGGCGTTGGTTCATTTCAGTATTAAAGTACTGGTCAAGTTATGAGATTGGCAGATCAAATGCTTAAACTATATTATTTTCCGTGCCTTATCTTTTGAGGACAGTAATAAAATACAATTAAAAACTTATTTTTGATGTTATCCGTTTGATTTTGTCAAGAATACTTTTAACTTCAAGTTCTCCCACAATAACATTTTGTAATTTTAAGCAAATTTACGAACGGATAACTTTACAAAGGAGAAATATCTTAAACATGAAAGGACAAATGCAATTAGAATTTATTTTCTTTGTTGAAAATCAGACTTCAGTTATTTTTCCTTTTAACATTGATAAATGCATGCATGGGAATAGTATTTCTAGAATTTTATGAGGCCTGAATAAAAGAAAATACAATGTATTTATGAAAAAATTGATGAAAAAAATTGTCAGGTCTTATACCGGGCCCCAAGACCATAAACTGAGAAAAGACTAAAGTCAAAAATTTGAATTTTAATATCTTAAGTTTCATTCAATGTATTAGCTTAAAAATTTGCAATTGTGCAAAACATTTCAATTCAAACATATGATGAAAATTTTATTATATTATCAGAATTATTTCTAAAGTTATATCGATTTGAAATTTTGACTTAAGTCTGTTCTGTTTATGGTCTTGGGGTACTCATTATGATACAAGGGTAGCATTTGAACTAATATAGAACTGTTAGGTTATTACACTTTGATCACCTTGATTCGTAGACCTTCATCAGTTCTGGAAGGTTACTTTGTAGATTGGTAACCTTTATTTAAGCTTTTCCTACAGAAGAAGACGCGGCGGAGGCACTTCAAATAATCTTACCGTATCATGTCATGGACAGAAAACACCCTCACATTCATCCTCTTGTAAAATATTCAATATCATCATTCCGTGTAAAGGATTTATCACATATTTTAATTTTAACACAAAATTAAGGAAGTGTTGGATTATATTATAATTACAAAGTATAGGGGATGAAATATTTTTGTTATTCTGAGAGTTATCCTTTCTTGAAGTGTCGAGAGTTGAAATAGGTTGTGACATTTGCCTCGTTATTGCATTCAGCGATGTTACATAGGTTAATTCTCCAAAGCCATACAGTTAATTTTTAATTGTATATGATTTAGAGGAAAAACAAAAATGAGAGCAGCATTTTATTCTATCTTGACAATTTTATTTCATTGCATAGAACGACATAGTTTAAAATCAAAACTTGCACATGCGCAATATTTCATCAAATCAAGCAGATTATACTAAGTGATTCAGTCATCCTCGTGTAGAAAAATAAACAATACTTCGTATCATTATATTATAGAAAAACGAAAAATGAAAACAAGAAAAATCATGAATATCACAGTTGGGACATGGGATTTTATTACAAAAGGACATCTGAATGGCTAGCCATGTAATGAAAACCGATTGCTATGACACAGAAAAAAAATGGATCACGTTATTTCACGTACAACGACGCTATAGTTTAATTAAGGGAAGTTTAATTTAGAACATGCACACAGCATTTTTGCTAAACCATCAGATTGGCGTTTTTATCAGCCATGACAGTTAAGTAAATGTTAGAAAGGCTATGTGTTTTCCTTATGACTTAACATGTACATTATAAATCATAAAAATCATTTTAGATAAAGAATATAGCTAACAAAACTAGAACAAAACCATTCAGCACGGAGAAATTGGCCACAGTGGAAGAATTCTGTGGATCAGAACTCGGGGATTTCTGATTTATTCCATTAATGTTACTGGTATATATAATTCTGTGATTCAGAGGCTGGATTGGCCGGAAGTCGTCTGCTAAATCTTTATCCGGTTCCGTGGGATAGTTCTGTTTCACATCATGGCGGAAAATTTCAAGCTGCAATGTAAAGGTGTATTTTATTACTGTTTTACCTTTTTTTAATATTGCGTGAAATTATCACTTAATCAGGTCCCAGGCCTAAAATGCTGTTTTTATTTATATGAATATCAATCATATCAAACAATAGTATGAAAGCTTTTAAATAAGTAATTAGGCCTCTGGA